CCAAGCGCACCTCACTCAGGTAAACCAAACCGCAGGCACCTGGGGTGTATTCATTACGTCTTGCAACGGAAACCATTTACCGTCTAAGAACCAAACGGAAGCAGGTGGAACGAAATGGGGAGGGACCTTTTTAAATTTTAATTGAACCTTTATTTTATCAGGGAGTCATACTGAGACAAGGGTCTCTTTTACAGATGGGCCCTGATTTACATACATTACAGAAAATACAAAATGCAAGTAGGAAGAAAAACATGGTCATAAAAAACAAAAACATTCATCAGTAATAAGATCCTCAATCAGCTTTCTGAATTGCCCTAAAGGCACCAAAACATCAAATTTAAGAACACTTTGAAGAATGTTCCACAAATAAGGTGCAAGAAAACTAAAAGCTGATTTACCTAACTCAGTAGAGACCAAAGGAATTTCCAGAGTTAGCCATCCCTGAGACCAGGTGTGGTAACTTGTATGTCTAAAGTTGAGTGAAGATGTTAGGTACAAAGGGCTTTATAAATGAAAACATAGCAATGTACCAACCTATGTGACATTAAATAGGGCCAACCAACTTTCTGGTAGAGAATGCAGTGATGAGTATTAAAATAGTTGCTCGTAATAAAGCGCAGTGCGCTATGATAAACTGCATCTAATGGCTTTAATGAAGTGGCAGTTGCGTTCATATAGATGATGTCGCCATAGTCTAGGACCGATAGGAACGTCGACTGAATAATCTGCTTTCTACTATTTAGCGAGAGGCAGGACCTATTTCTATAGAAGAAGCCCATATTTATTATCAGCTTCTTAACTAACTCATCAATATGCATTTTAATAGACAGCTTTTCCTCTATCCAGATGCCCAGATATTTGTAAGCACAGACACGATCAATATGGACATAATCTAAAGTACATACAGTTGAAGTCAGAAGTTTACATACACTTAGGTTTGAGTCATTAAAACTCGGTTTTCAACCACTCCACAAATGTCTTGTTATCAAACTATAGTTTTGGCAAGTCGGTTAGGACATCTACTTTGTGCATGACACAAGTCATTTTTCCAACAATTGTTTACAGACAGATTATGTAAACTTCTGACCCAGTGGGTCAGAAGTTTACACACACTAAGTTGACTGTACCTTTAAACAGCTTGGGAAATTCCAGAAAATTATGTCATGGCTTTTGAAGCTTCTGATAGGCTAATTGACATAATTTGAGTCAATTGGAGGTGTACCTGTGGATGTATTTCAAGGCCTACCTTCAAACTCATTGCCTCTTTGCTTGACATCATGGGAAAATCAAAAGAAATCAGCCAAGACCTCAGGAAAAAATGTGTAGACCTCCACAAGTCTGGTTCATCCTTGGGAGCAATTTCCAAACGTCTGAAGGTACCACGTTCATCTGTACAAACAATAGTACGCAAGTATAAACACCATGGGACCACGCAGCCGTCATACCGCTCAGGAAGGAGACGCGTTCTGCCTCCTAGAGATGAACGTACTTTGGTGCGAAAAGTGCAAATCAATCCCAGAACAACAGCAAAGGACCTTGTGAAGATGCTGGAGGAAACAGGTACAAAAGTACAGTGAGGGAAAAAAGTATTTGATCCCCTGCTGATTTTGTACGTTTGCCCACTGACAAAGACATGATCAGTCTATAATTTTAATGGTAGGTTTATTTGAACAGTGAGAGACAGAATAACAACAAAAAAATCCAAGAAAGCGCATGTCAAAAATGTTATAAATTGATTTGCATTTTAATGAGGGAAATAAGTATTTGACCCCCTCTCAATTAGAAAGATTTCTGGCTCCCAGGTGTCTTTTTATACAGGTAACGAACTGAGATTAGGAGCACACTCTTAAAGGGAGTGCTCCTAATCTCAGCTTGTTACCTGTATAAAAGACACCTGTCCACAGAAGCAATCAATCAATCAGATTCCAAACTCTCCACCATGGCCAAGACCAAAGAGCTCTCCAAGGATGTCAGGGACAAGATTGTAGACCTACACAAGGCTGGAATGGGCTACAAGACCATCGCCAAGCAGCTTGGTGAGAAGGTGACAACAGTTGTTGCGATTATTCGCAAATGGAAGAAACACAAAAGAACTGTCAATGTCCCTCGGCCTGGGGCTCCATGCAAGAGTTGCAATGATCATGAGAACGGTGAGGAATCAGCCCAGAACTACACGGGAGGATCTTGTCAATGATCTCAAGGCAGCTGGGACCATAGTCACCAAGAAAACAATTGGTAATGCACTACGCTGTGAAGGACTGAAATCCTGCAGCGCCCGCAAGGTCCCCCTTCTCAAGAAAGCACATATACAGGGCCGTCTGAAGTTTGCCAATGAACATCTGAATGATTCAGAGGAGAACTGGGTGAAAGTGTTGTGGTCAGATGAGACCAAAATCGAGCTCTTTGGCATCAAATCAACTCGCCATGTTTGGAGGAGGAGGAATGCTGCCTATGACCCCAAGAACACCATCCCCACCGTCAAACATGGAGGTGGAAACATTATGCTTTGGGGGTGTTTTTCTGCTAAGGGGACAGGACAACTTCACCGCATCAAAGGGACGATGGACGGGGCCATGTACCGTCAAATCTTGGGTGAGAACCTCCTTCCCTCAGCCAGGGCATTGAAAATGGGTCGTGGATGGGTATTCCAGCATGACAATGACCCAAAACACACGGCCAAGAATAAGCACATTAAGGTCCTGGAGTGGCCTAGCCAGTCTCCAGACCTTAATCCCATAGAAAAACTGTGGAGGGAGCTGAAGGTTCGAGTTGCCAAACGTCAGCCTCGAAACTTTAATGACTTGGAGAAGATCTGCAAAGAGGAGTGGGACAAAATCCCTCCTGAGATGTGTGCAAACCTGGTGGCCAACTACAAGAAACATCTGACCTCTGTGATTGCCAACAAGTGTTTTACCACCAAGTACTAAATCATTTTGTAGAGTGGTCAAATACTTATTTCCCTCATTAAAATGCAAATCAATTTATAACATTTTTGACATGCGTTTTTCTGGATTTCTTTGTTGTTAATCTGTCTCTCACTGTTCAAATAAACCTACCATTAAAATTATAGACTGATTTTGTCTTTGTCAGTGGGCAAACGTACAAAATCAGCAGGGGATCAAATACTTTTTTCCCTCACTGTATCTATATCCACAGTAAAACGAGTCCTATATCGACATAACCTGAAAGGCCGCTCAGCAAGGAAGAAGCCACTGCTCCAAAACCACCATAAAAAAGCCAGACTACGGTTTGCAACTGCACATGGTGACAAAGATCATACTTTTAGAACTGTTTGGCCATAATGACCATCGTTATGTTTGGAGGAAAAAGGGGACAGCTTGCAAGCCGAAGAACACCATCCCAACCGTGAAGCACGGGGGTGGCAGCATCATGCTGTGGGGGTGCTTTGCTGCAGGAGGGACTGGTGCACTTCACAAAATAGATGGCATCATGAGGAAGGAAAATTATGTGGATATATTGAAGCAACATCTCAAGACATCAGTCAGGAAGTGCAAGCTTGGTCGCAAATGGGTCTAGCACATCACAGATAGTAAATTGTAAAATGAAAACTAAGATTGACTAGAAGTTGACGGGTTAACCGTTGAGGCTGGTAGAGGGAAGAGCAGTCGATTGACTGACCAGGGTTAATTAAACCATTGTTTCTCTCAAATAAAAAGCCTGGCGAGATAAAATGATTATTATAAGCATCACTTATCCCATTCTTTTCAGTTATGATGCCAGAGTCAGACAGAACTTGCCTAGGCAGGGAAGAAGAGGGATTTGTACGCTTCAGTGCATTTACTGTTTTCCAAAATTTAGAAGGATCACCAGAGATAGAGCTTAAAAAGTAGCTTGATTTAGTTTTCTTAATCGAGATAGTACATCTGTTTCTCAATTGTCTGAAAGATTGCCAGTCCACTACAGAGTCAGTTTTCCCTCAAATCAAATCAAATTGTATTGGTCACATACACATATTTAGCAGCTGTTATGTCGGGTGTAGCGAAATGCTTGTGTTCCTAGCTCCAACAGTGCAGTAGTATCTAACAATTCACAACAATACACACAAATCTAAAAGTAAAAGAATGGAATTAAGAAATATATAAAAATTAGGATGAGCAATGTCGGAGTGGCATTGACTAAAATAGAGTAAAACACAATACAGTATATACATATGAGATGAGTAAAGTGGTATGTAAACATTATTAAAGTGACTAGTGTTCCATTATTAAAGTGGCCAGTGATTCCATGTCTATGTGTATTGGGCAGCAGCCTCTAAGGTGCAGGGTTGAGTAACCGGGTGGTAGCCGGCTAGTGATGGCTATTTAACAGTCTGGGATAAGGAGAGATTGAAAATGTCCGAAACCACTCCAGCCAGCTGGTCTGCGCATGCTCTGAGGACGCGGCTAGGGATGACGTCTGGACCGGCAGCCTTGCGAGGGTTAACCCGCTTAAACTTCTTACTCACGTCGGCCACGGAGAACGAGTCCACAGTCCTGGGGAGCGGCCCACGTTGGTGGCACTGTGTATTCCTCAAAGAGGTAAAAAAAGGTGTTTAGCTTGTCCGGGAGCAAGACGTCATGGTCCGTGACGTGGCTGGTTTTCCCTTTTTGTAATCCATGATTGCCTGTAGACCCTGCCACATACGTCTCGTGTCTGAGCCGTTGAATAGGGTTAGATCTATCTTTGACTCTGAATTGTTTAAAAGGGCCATGTTTATCTGCCAGAGGAATAAATATGGAGGATACATTTTCTAGGGCCAACTCAGGGTCAAGAATACAGGAGACCTACCTGAATTTGGCCAATAGAAACTCTCGTTTTTGTTGCAAAACGTTTTCCATTTGGAGTTAACGGTTTCTGTTGCAAACATTTTGCAACAGAATCGGCGGAATGAATAAACCCCCCGCCGCACCTTCCCCTGTAGGCTCACAGGTGCTCTGCCCACGTGATAAACGAATGGGCCAATCAAATGCCCGCATTACAGTGACATCTACACCAGCGTATGTGATTTGCTGACGAAAGTGGTACACAGGTGTCTGGTTCTCCGAAAGTGTTGCATTTCAGACCGAAACCAAGAGGTTGTCCTTAAACATGTTGTTCTCTGAAGGCTGTTTGTTGTTATAGAATCATTTGTACACATTTTTAGACGTGTTTTTAACTCTTACCACGTCCTGAATAATTTCAACGCCGCTATTGTGGACAGTAGGTTTAAATGAAAATTAACAACTTGATTTAGAGCACAAGACTTCTCAAGAATATTAGTTTTTTTTTTAAGTTTGAGGCTACCTGAAAGTCTAGTGTCGCTCGAAAATGATACCGAAATCAGAGTTTTATGTTAGGCTTTTTTGCTGTTTCACAGGTGAGTTATCATATTATCTTTATGTTATGACCTGGTAATGCCAGTGAAGTAGGTCAGTTGTGTCATTTGAATCGACTCATTTACGGGTAAACTGGTTACAAAGGAAATCTGAATGTCACTACCATTGTTTGGGCTACTCCAAAATCAAATTGCCAATTGGCACTTCCACGGTAAGCGTGACGCTGATACTCTGATTTTTCACTTTAAATTAAACCATAACTCTATGCACAAGGACTAATTTGATCAATTTCCATTGAGAATTTTACGAAAACATTTACTTGAAGAACAGTGCAGATACTAAGTTTGGTAACAGAATGACGGTTTACTTTTGGTGCGGTCATTTTGTTACCAAACTTGCATCTGCACTTTGGGCCTAGGCTAGCCCTACTCAGAGTACTCGTGGAGGCCTATGTATGAATTTAAAGGAGAGGGGAAATTATGCTAAAGTGGCCTACCACGTCTAATTCAGCGGTGTAAAATACTTACGTAAAAATTTATTTTTGCTATTACAACGTCAAATACCGCAGTCGACTGCAGTTCAAAACTGCAATCTTTTTTTGTAAGGGAATACTTTAAAGTACTACTTAAGTAGTTTTGAGTATCTGTATTTTACAATTTATATTGACAACTTTTACTAAACTACATTCCTAAAGAAAATAATGTGCTTTTTACTCCATACACTTTCCCTAACACCCAAAAGTACCTGTTACATTTTGAATGCTTAGTAGGGCAGGACAATTGTCAAATTCACACACTTATCAAGAGAACATCTCTGGTCATCCCTACTGCCTCTGATCTGGCAGACTCACTAAATGCATTCTTAATTTGTAAATTGTCTAATTGTGCCTCTGGCTATCCGTAAATAAATAAAAAACAAGAAACTGGTGCCATTTGGTTTGCTTCATAAAATACATTTGAAATAATAATATAATATAATAATAATATGCCATTTAGCAGATGCTTTTATCCAAAGCGACTTAGTCATGCGTGCATACATTTTTGTGTATGGGTGGTCCCGGGGATCGAACCCACTACCTTGGTGTTACAAGCGCCGTGCTCTACCAGCTGAGCTACAGAGGACTTTTATGATTTATACTTTTACTTTTGATACTTAAGTATATTTAAAACCAAATACTTTTAGGCTTTTACTCAAGTAGTATTTTACTGGGTGACTTTCACTTTTACCCTAATAGAAAATGACTCAAGTATGACAATTTAGTACTTTTTCCACCCCTGGTCTAATTCACATTCCCCCTCTCAGGTATCTTGGTTTGTCATGCTCAGGTGGAGTGTGGTCAACCACTCCTGGAAAACAGGATTGTTGGAGGAGTAGATGCATCGCAGGGGGCATGGCCGTGGCAGGTGGATATTCAGGTAGGTCACTGCTGCATCAAGGTATGGATTAAACTAAATGCATGAAGCCATGTTTTAGTGTGTATGTTGGTCGTCATGCTGACCTGCTGAGAGAGGAATGTTTTGCTGATTCACCAATCCTCTTTCCCCCGCTCTTGGTCTTTAGACAGAGAAGGATGGTCATATCTGTGGGGGCTCCATCATCACTCAGGAGTGGGTGCTGTCTGCTGCCCACTGCTTCCCAAAGTAAGTGTCCACCGGTGGCGGCTCCTCAGGAGGAAGGGGAGGACCATCCTAATCGGTGAATTACATAAAACTAGTGAAACATTTATAAAAAAAAGTTATCCTGTTTAGATACAACTATACTAAATATATTCCCGTCACCAAATAACTGATTAAAACAGTTTTGCAATGGTCTACCGTAACCTACAGTCTCCGTTGTCTCAAGGCTTAAAAATCCTCCTTTAACCTCTCGCCTCACCTTCATCTACAGTGGATTTAACAAGTGACATCAATAAGGGATCATAGCTTTCACCTCGTCATTCTGTCATGGAAACAGCAGGTGTTCTTAATGTTTTGTCAGTATGTCTAAATTAAATCAAATCACATTTTATTTGTCATATACACGTGTTTAGCAGATGTTATAGTTGGTGTCGCGAAATGCTTGTGCTTCTACTCCGACAGTGCAGTAATATCTAACAATTTCACAACAAATACCCAATACATACAAAACTAGTAAGGAATGGGGTTTAAGAATATATACATATATGGACAAGCAATGACAGAGCGGCATGGACTAAGATGCAGAAGAATATTATAGAATGCAGTATATACATATGAGATGAGTAGTGCAAGATATGTAAACATTATTAAAGTGACTAGTGTTCCATTTCTTAAAGTGGCCAGTGATTTCAATAGGGAGCAGCAGCCTCTAATGTGCTAGTGATGGCTATTTAACAGTCTGATGGCCTTGGGATAGAAGCTGTTTTTCAGTCTCTCGGTTCCAGCTTTGATGCACCTGTACTGACCTCACCTTCTGGATGATAGCGGGGTGAACAGGCAGTGGCTCAGGTGGTTGATTTCCTTGACGATCTTTTTGGCCTTCCTGTGACATCGGGTGTTGTATGTGTCTTGGATGGCGGGTAGTTTGCCCCCGGTAATGCGTTCGGCAGACCGCACCACCCTCTGGAGCTTTCCACCTTCTCCGCTGCGGTCCCGTCAATGTGGATAGGGGGGTGCACCCTCTGCTGTTTCCTGAAGTCCACGATCATCTCCTTTGTTTTGTTGATGTTGAGTGATATGTTATTTTCCTGGCACCACACTCCCAGAGCCCTCACCTCCTCCCTGTAGGCGGTCTCGTCATTGTTGGTAATCAAGCCTACTACTGTTGTCGTCTGCAAACTTGATGATTGAGTTGGAGGCGTACTTGGCCACGCAGTCATGGGTGAACAGGGAGTACAGGAGGGGGCTGAGCATGCACCCTTGTGGGGCCCCAATGTTGAGGATCAGCGAAGTGGAGATGTTGTTTCCTACCTTCACCACCTGGGGGCGGCCCGTCAGGAAGGCCAGGACCCAGTTGCACAGGGCTGGGTTCAGACCCAGGGCCTCAAGCTTAATGATGAGCTTGGAGGGTACTATGTTGTTGAATGCTGAGCTATAGTCAATGAACAGCATTCTTACATAGGTATTCCTCTTGTCCAGATGGGATAGGGCAGTGTGATGGCGATTGCATCGTCTGTGGATCTATTGGGGCGGTAAGCAAATTTGAAGTGGGTCTAGGGTGACCGGTAAGGTAGAGGTGATATGATCCTTGACTAGTCTCTCAAAGCAATTCATGATGACAGAGGTGAGTGCTACGGGGTGATAGTCATTTAGTTCAGTTACCTTTGCTTTCTTGGGTACAGGAACAATGGTGGCCATCTTGACGCATGTGGGAACAGCAGACTGGGAAAGGGAGAGATTGAATATGTCCATAAACACACCAGCCGAATGCTGCCGTCTATTCACAGTTTCTGGTTAGTGTAGGTTTTAATAGTCACAGTGGGCACAACATCACCTATACACTTCCTGATAAACTCAGTCACTGTTTCGGTGTATACGTCTAAATTATTTTCGGAAGCTACCCGGAACATATCCCAGTCCGCGTGATCAAAACAATCTTGAAGCGTGGATTCCGATTGGTCAGACCAGTGTTGAATATTCCTTAGCACGGGTACTTCCTGTTTGAGTTTCTGCCTATAGGAAGGGAAAAGCAAAATGGAGTCGTGGTCAGATTTTCCAAAAGGAAGGCGGGGGAGGGCCTTATAACCATCCCAGAAGTTTGAATAGCAATGGTCGAGGATTTTAGCAGCGCGAGTACAACAGTCGATATGTTGATAGAACTTCGGCAGCCTAGTCCTCAAATTTGCTTTGTTAAAATCCCCAGCTACAATAAATGCAGCCTCAGGATATGTGGTTTCCAGTTTGCATAAGGTCCAGTGAAGTTCTTTTGAGGGCCGTCGTGGTATCGGCTTGAGGGGGGATATACACGGCCGTGACTATAACCGAATAAAATTATCTTGGGAGATAATACGGTCTGCATTTGATTGTGAGATATTCTAGGTCGGGTGAACAGAAGGACTCGAGTTCCTGTATGTTACTACAATTACACCATGAGTTGTTAATCATGAAACACACACCTCCGCCCTTCTGCTTCCTGGAGAGATATTTATTCCTGTCTGCGCGATGAACTGAGAACCCATCTGGCTGGACCGTTTGACAGAATATCCCAAGAGAGCCATGTTTCCGTGAACCTGAGTATGTTACAGGTCTTGATGTCTCTCTGGAAAGAAATCCTTGCCCGTAGTTCATCGACTTTGTTAACCAAAGATTGAACATTAGCGAGTAGGATACTTGGAAGCGGTGGGTGGTGTGCGCGCCTCCTAAATCGAACCAGCATGCCGCTCCAAGTGCTCCAAGTGCATGCTGCTCAGTTCAGTTGTCCTGGGGAGAGCAAACAAAGGATCTGCTTCGGGAAAGTCGTAATGCTGGTGAGTTACCGCCACTCTGATATCCAATAGTTTTTCCCGGCTGTATGTAATGATGCAAAACACTTTCTGAGCTAATAATGTAAAAAATAATACATAAAAAAACAAAATACTGCAAAGTTTGCTAAGAGCTAGTCGCGAGGCCGCCATCTTCATCGGCGCCAGTTTACCACTGTGTGTAGCTGTTAGCGATGCTAATGATGGCGTAACTGTTTTCGGGGAGTTGGAAAGGCAATAAAAAGGTAACTACCTGGCAGAATCATGATTATTTGCATCAATCCAGTGGCCATTTAGTTTTGACAACTCCATCACAAGTGTGCTACAGAAACATTGTGTGCCAAACACAACTGTATGGCTGGTGCACACCTGAATTAATGGGTAACTACACAAAAATAATCTACATTTCTCAGGTTTTTCCCAGACCTCAAATGGTCCCATGATGTGGTTTAAGCATTGTTGTGGACTTACAGTGAAGGGAAAAAAGTATTTGATCCCCTGCTCATTTTGTACGTTTGCCCACTGACAAAGAAATGATCAGTATATAATTTTAATGGTAGGTTTATTTGAACAGTGAGAGACAGAATAACAACAAAAAAATCAAGAAAAACGCATGTCAAAAATGTTATGAATTGATTTGCATTTTAATGAGGGAAATAAGTATTTGACCCCCTCTTAAAGGGAGTGCTCCTAATCTCAGCGTGTTACCTGTATAAAAGACACATGTCCACAGAAGCAATCAATCAATCAGATTCCAAACTCTCCACCATGGCCAAGACCAAAGAGCTCTCCAAGGATGTCGGAGATTGTAGACCTACACAAGGCTGGAATGGGCTACAAGACCATCGCCAAGCAGCTTGGTGAGAAGGTGACAACAGTTGGTGTGATTATTCGCAAATGGAAGAAACACAAATTAATTGTCAATCTCCCTCGGCCTGGGGCTCCATGCAAGATCTCACCTCGTGGAGTTGCAATGATCACGAGAATGGTGAGGAATCAGCCCAGAACTACACGGGAGGATCTTGTCAATGATCTCAAGGCAGCTGGGACCATAGTCACCAAGAAAACAATTGGTAACACACTACGCTGTGAAGGACTGCAATCCTGCAGCGCCCGCAAGGTCCCCTGCTCAAGAAAGCACATATACAGGCCCATCTGAAGTTTGCCAATGAACATCTGAATGATTCAGAGGAGAACTGGGTGAAAGTGTTGTGGTCAGATGAGACCAAAATCGAGCTCTTTGGCATCAACTCAACTCGCCGTGTTTGGAGGAGGAGGAATGCTGCCTATGACCCCAAGAACACCATCCCCACCGTCAAACATGGAGGTGGAAACATGCTTTGGGGGTGTTTTTCTGCTAAGGGGACAGGACAACTTCACCGCATCAAAGGGACGATGGACGGGGCCATGTACCGTCAAATCTTGGGTGAGAACCTCCTTCCCTCAGCCAGGGCATTGAAAATGGGTCGTGGATGGGTATTCCAGCATGACAATGACCCAAAACACATGGCCAAGAATAAGCACATTAAGGTCCTGGAGTGGCCTAGCCAGTCTCCAGACCTTAATCCCATAGAAAAGCTGTGGAGGGAGCTGAAGGTTCGAGTTGCCAAACGTCAGCCTCGAAACTTTAATGACTTGGAGAAGATCTGCAAAGAGGAGTGGGACAAAATCCCTCCTGAGATGTGTGCAAACCTGGTGGCCAACTACAAGAAACGTCTGACCTCTGTGATTGCCAACAAGGGTTTTACCACCAAGTACTAAATCATGTTTTGCAGAGTGGTCAAATACTTATTTCCCTCATTAAAATGCAAATCAATTTATAACATTTTTGACATGCGTTTTTCTGGATTTCTTTGTTGTTAATCTGTCTCTCACTGTTCAAATAAACCTACCATTAAAATTATAGACTGATCATGTCTTTGTCAGTGGGCAAACGTACAAAATCAGCAGGGGATCAAATACTTTTTTCCCTCACTGTAGAACATTCCATTTGGTTGTTTTTCTATAAAAATAAAAATAAATGATTTTTGAGAGTAAGAACTGGGGGGAAATCTCCCAGCTTTTTAAATTCTGCACTCTGGAGGATTTTGCAGAAAAGAACAAGGCACTTTGAAATTGGCAATGAATACATTTTGCACTTTAAGTATTTTCTTTGTTACAGTAAATCTATTTAAGAACACAAGGGTATGCTAATTTAAAAGATGGCTAGTCATTATTTGCCTGGTTCTGTATAGAATGCAGGCACGTTATGGGACACAGGCCAGGTCATTATCAATTATTTAAAAAATCATCTGCTGATGCCACCAACCTAAGTTGCTTCCACCTGTGGAAAAAGTTAGTGTAGAACCCTGATAGTTGAACAGTTTTGAACAAATTGATTTCTTAAATTAAGGAGAAGCAGCATATGGCTATGTCTTGTTGTGTATATATTTTTCTTAGTTTACCTTTCACTTAACTAATGCAACTAGTTTGGCTTTCTCAACAACCTGACTCAAACAGAGAGGAACGCTATTTATGTTAGCTAGCATGCTAAGACTATCCAGCACTGCAACTCTTCCAAGTCAAGATAAGCTTTCGGTTTTATTAATTTATTGCCACCGGGGCCTGCCGGTGTAATTGCTAAACTGCTTGCTGTACACTGTACTGTGTGATAGTAAACCCACAATCCAATCCATGTGTACAAACGCTTTAGTTCTAGTTTGTTGACAATCCTTATTATGGTGACAACGATGTAGGCTGTGTAGCGGTTATGGTATGAAGGTTTGGCTTGGAGAGGTTTTTTGCGCCTGGTCACACAGCTGTTGTGCACTGAAGTCCTCTGTAGCTCAATTGGTAGAGCATGGCGCTTGTAACGCCAGGGTAGTGGGTTCGATCCCCGGGACCACCCATACGTAAAAATGTATGCACACATGACTGTAAGTCGCTTTGGATAAAAGCGTCTGCTAAATGGCATGTTATTAAGTCCACACGAGACGGGAAAAGGTCAAATCAAATCAGGGTTGTGGGTTCGTTTCCCATGGGTGGCCAGTATGAAAAATGTATGCATTCACTAACTGTAAGTCGCTCTGGATAAGAGCGTCTGCTAAATGACTAAAATGTTATATCATTCAGCTTACAGTAGCAGCCAATGTGTGGTGTTCAATATACGCCTACTTTTGAAAAAAACATGCAGGGCTTGACATTAACCTGTTTATTCACTTGTCCTTCAGACAAGGAAGTGACTGAATGTTGTTGTGTTGTTTGATGCAAGAAACCACTTTACAAAATAAAATGCATTTTTATTCCCATACCATTATTAGAGAATCAGACAAATTATGCTACCCTCTGCCTATTGGCTATTTAGCTTCTTCAAGCCTGTTTTAAAATACAACACTGCCCCTTTAAGACAAAAAAGCTCTTTACCCGACTCACTTTTCAAAGATGTCTAGAAATGTACATTTTGTGCTCTTGTAGGAAGCAATCACTCCCCTATTGCTGACTACAAATGATCTATAACTGGTCTAATAACTCACTAACTAGCTAAGGATATGAACAAATGTGCACAAGTGGCTACATGCAGCTCTCGCTTTGATCTCAAAACAAGCGCATCTACTCCCGACCGCTCATGCTGTAAACACAGTCCAGTTCATATATGGCAATGGTTTATTTGCATGTCTAGGGTGTGATTTCTCTAGGCTCATGCCTCTTGTAGAACAGTAAAGCTGTCATGTTACTGATTCGGTTTGTTCACAGATCGAATATCAATTTAATTATTTATTATTTTGTGGCTGTGCGAGTTAACGTACTACTTCAAGTACAAAGGCTTTGGGGGAACACCTCTACAGTCAGTATGTAATCTCGAAAACACAGAACAAAAATGTTGTAATTGCATCAGATGCTCAATCATGTTCTGGTGGGGAGATGTAGGTGAGAAGATTCTAATGAGATTATCAAAGTCTCCCCTCCCCCTAAATGGACATTCTCAGCCCAAGCATGGGCCAAATGTCCCCTCCACTTCCGGGATTCGAAAAAGATGCGAACACATTCAAAATCGAGAATCTGCACACCGGAACACAAGTTTGTCGGTACATCCCACAGCCTGTTGACAGACCCTAAGATGCCATCCTACAGTATGTTATGTGCTTCTGTCCACAAGAGATCAGTCAGTATGCCAGGACCCCAAAATAAAAGGCGCAGGGTCATCTTTCAAAGTATCTTATTTGCCCTTTTCTTTTCTTTTTTTAAGTACAAGACTAGTACATGCATTATAATTTCTCTGTAACGAAAGCTCAATCGCTGTCCCAAATGGTAACCTATTCCCATATAGTGCACTGCTTTTGACCAGGGCCCATAGTGTACCATTTGGGATACAGACAATGTATTTTGTGGTAGTAGACCCCAGTAGCACCTGTTTGTAAAACACAGCCCTATTCTAGGTAGTGTATCCACACGCTGAAATACTATGCAATCCTAGGCTGAGTGTGTAACTCATCCTTAAGCTGCGTTTTCAGTTACATGCACATTTCTTAAAGGCCCACTCCTCCATCTGAAAAACGGCAGCCCCACCACTTGGATTGCTATAAAGCTTAGCAATGGGGCTGGAGAAATGTAATCGCACTCAAATTCATAAATGGAGTTATGGATGCAGTGACTGAATGTCCATGAGTTCAACATGATAGTTGTAACTATATCCTGAAAGTATACCTTCATGAAGACGGTGTTTACAAACAATGGAGTAAAACAGCCTGATATTTTGGTTTTAGGGGTTAGACAGTTGAACCAAGCTCATTGGCACGTATAAATGCCCATTTTTCTATTAATTTTATGATCAAAACGGCTGTAAATATCACTGAGTGGGCCTTAAATTGGGATTGGGCCATAATACTGTTAACATCTAAAGGAAGAAAGATGCCGTCTAATAACAATATGCTCCTCCAAACGGGGTGTGTGAGACGTATGCTATCTGGAGGGTAGAGAAATGAGCAGACACATTTCAGTTGTTAGTTTTAATGTATGGACAAAGTTGTATTTGAACTCTCTCTCCTCCCGTCTTTCCCAGTCTGTTTGACGTGTCGGGCTACACCCTCTACGTTGGCCGTCACCAGCTCAACGTTTTTAACCCCAACGAGATGTCGCACCGCGTGAAGCGCATCGTGATCCCATCCAGCTACTCAGACCCCAATTTGGGACAGGACATGGCCTTGGTGCAGCTGCAGAGCCCTGTCGTCTGGTCGGCGTTTGTCCGGCCCATCTGTCTGCCTGACGCCGGGACACTGTTCCCAGGGGGCCTGCTCTGCTACGTTACAGGCTGGGGAAACATCCGTGACGGGGGTAAGAGAGAATAAGGCATTACCTATATAGCGGCAAAATCAGACTTCCACTTAAAGGGGAACTACGGTAAATTTGGTAAATTTCTCAAAGAGCCGAAACCTCTGACTCAGTGGAGGACTATCTGTCACATGGTCAACTGTTACTCAGAGCGGAGGTAGAGCTAGAGTAATGTCACATGGTTACACCCCCCCCCCCCCCCCCTTCCCTCCCTGTAGCGCTAGATGGAACTGTCACAGTGAACATTGTGCTAAAGTCGGCTGTATTTTGAAAACTGCCGGTGACAGTTTTGTTTATGAGGTGTTCCCTCGTTCATGTGTTCCATTTGCAGTAGTCTAAGCCACGGGCTGATAATTTTATTTATTTTTTCTCCTTGCTTGGCAGAAATCTCAGAATGTACCCAAATGTATTGTTGGTGTAGGCATTCTCTCGCTCTCTCCTTTTATTTTTCCTGCCTGCTCACCTTCCCTGGCCTTCTCTCAGTCGCTCTGAGTGGAGCGGGGACACTGCAGCAAGTTAAGGTGCCAATCATCTCGTCGTCTTCCTGTCAGATGATGTACAGCCTGAACCCGTCGGTGACAGTGAACATCCTTTCTGACATGATCTGTGCCGGTTATCAAGAGGGTGGCAGGGACTCCTGCCAGGTACGCTCGCGTCACCAGTGTGTGCATGTCTTTTAGAATCTAGTTGACTATGTATTCTGTCTCGTCACTCTGTGTGTGTGTGTGTGTAATAGTAGACAAGCTTAACTTATTTTTCTTATGTCTTACCCATCTCTCTCTGTTCCTCAACAGGGGGACTCTGGAGGACCCCTGGTCTGCCAAATGGTGAACGGGACCTGGGTGCAGGCCGGGGTGGTGAGTTTTGGCCTGGGCTGTGCCAATGCCAACCAGCCCGGCGTCTACGCCAAGGTGTCCACCTTCTCCAGCTTCATCCGCAGCAACATACCAGAGATCAGTCTGTACGGCCGGGCCGGTCCCAACTGGGCCAGCTCCCTGGCCGTGCTGGCTAGCTCCCTGGCCACTCTACTAATGGGCCAGCTGCTTTAGATGGGGCTTCCTAAGAGCGCCATATCTTAAAGGGACATTTTATGTCATTTGACCTGAACCTGGTTTTACACTTACCTTGGCTGTAGTAGATGACTGTTTTAGGCACATATTCTGCTTTATTTTTAATTATTTTAATTTACCATATTAATATTATGCCAAAACAACTTTTTGACCAAACTGACTGGACAAAATATGACAATGTATTTCCCAAGTAAGCAGAATCTTTACCTTTCTGGGTCAAGATATGTGTAAAACCAGATAAACGTGTCAAATTTCATGGAATGTTGCTTTAAAGGAAAGGGCCGAACCTGCGGTGGCATAAACTATACCATGTTGTTTTAATTATGGTTAGATCTTTAAACGCAACTCCTTACAAATACAAGTGATTCTGAATAAACAAGCTATATAGCTAATCAGCAGAAAAAACAGGGTGATATTATGGGTATTTATAACTTGTGAAATGTAAAGCCATAATAGTTCTGTCTATTTTAGCACACATATTAATGTCTTGTAAAATTAACGTTTTTAAGCTTTAAGTTTCTTATGTTTTTAATGATGAATAAATGATTAAAATGTAAAGTAATTTACGAGAATTGTCACTACATGCATTCTAGAATCTCCATTGTCTTAATTCTACTCCCATCACCTGGGCCCTGTTTGAATGCTTAAGAAATGCGTCCTTCCTTTCCTTGAAGTAATTCCATCTGAATGAGTGAAGGTAGGGTAGTGACCTTCATTTCACCTATCCGTTCAACTTATAGATCTGTGATTATCAAGGAAATTAGGAAGGAAAGATGCATTTCTGAAGTCGGGCTGAATCTCTATGGTCTTTCCTTGATTCCGCACGTCCTCTCTCCTCCTCATAGGGAATTGGAGGAGAAGGTCCAAGGGGAGGATCCTCAGAACTTCTCGTCCAATGCCATATGAGAAGGAGGCAAGGACATGAGGAATCAAGGAAAGACAATTGAGATTCAGTAGCTCATCTTGACCTTTCAGAACACGGCATGCACTTTCTCCACTGCCAAGGAAGCTCAATACTATTTTGAGAATCACATCAAACCCAACGCACAAGGGGACGAGTCGACAGAAGGAACCCCATCATAACTGGCTCAATATTCACACATGCTTTCATGCACAATCACAATCACGCAGCCTAGCATATGGCTATGCTGCCCTCAGCATAAGACAATGAAGATACCTCCTAAAGTGGGTACAAGGAACATTACTTATTGCTGAGTATTGGACTTTATTACGTTGCTTATGGAACAGTAGGACATTAACACAGTGACTCCACGCCAAATAATGAACAATGGACAATATATTGAGGTGTCATACAGATTGGGGCTGCTTCCTGGAGCTACAGAGCAATAAATCCCTACGTGGACAAAATATAAGTTGGATGCTATTCCCCTACTATTTTTGTTTTGTGCAACTGCTAATGAAAGATGGCCATTCCCATATGGTCTACTACACAATTGCTTATATATATATATAATTTTTTTTTTTTTTTTTGCTATTGCTCTTACAGCTACAGTATCCTATTTGACTGTTTAGTCTTACTTTTTCCCTTTTTCTTCATTACTAACTCATCCAAGTCTGATACTTTTGGTAGTGTATGTGGACACCTGCTCGTTGAACATCTCATTCCAAAATCATGGGCATTAATAGGGAGTTGCTATAACAGCCTCCACTCTTCTGGGAAGGCTTTCCACTAGGTGTTGGAACATTGCTGCGGGGACTTGCTTCCATTCAGCCACAAGACCATTAGTGAGGTTGGGCACTGATGTTGGGCGATTAGGCCTGGCTCGCAGTCGGCGTTCCAATTCATCCCAAAGGTGTTCGATCCGGTTGGGGTTCGGCTCTGTACAGGCCAGTCAAGTTATTCCATACCGATCTCGACAAACCATTTCTGTATGGACCTTGCTTTGTGCACTGGGGCATTGTCATGCTGAAACAGGAAAGGACCTTCCCCAAACTGTTGCCACAAAGTTGGCAGCACAGAATAATCTAGAATCTTATTGTATGCTGTAGCGTTAAGATTTCCCTTCACTGGAACTAAGGGGCCTAGCCCGAACCATGAAAAACAACCCCAGACCATTATTCCTCCTCCACCAAACTTTACAGTTGGCACTGGGGCAGGTAGCCTTCTCCTGACATCCGCCAAACCCAGATTTGTCCGTCGGACTGCCCAGAGAACGCGTTTCCACTGCTCCAGCGTCCAATGGCTGCGAGCTTTACACCACTCCAGCTGACGCTTGGCATTGCGCATGGTGATCTTAGGGTTGTTCTGCCGAGCCATGGAAACCCATTTCATGAAGCTTCCGACAAACAGTTATTGTGCCCCACGTTGCTTCCAGAGGCAGTCTGGAACTTGGTAGTGAGAGTTGTAACCAAGGACAGACAATTTCTTTACGCGCTTCAGCACTCGGTAGTCTCATTCTGTGAGCTTGTGTGGCCTACCACTTCGCGGCTGAGCTGTTGTTGCTCCTAGACGTTTCCACTTAACAATAACAGCACTTACAGTTGACCAGGGCAGCTCTAGCAGGGCAGAAATGTGATGAACTGACTTGTTGGAAAGGGGGCATTCTATGACGGTGCCATGTTGAAAGTCACTGAGCTCTTCAGTAAGGCCATTCTACTGCCACTATTTGTCTATTGAGATTGTATGGCTGTGTGCTTGATTTTATACACCTGTCAGCAACGGGTGTGGCTGAAATAGCCGAATCCACTCATTTGAAGGGGTGTCCACATACTTTTGTGTATATATAGTGTAAACTATTGGAACCAAGACTTAAAAATAACTGATTGGCACAAGATGGAGGGAGTGTTGGAACATAACTAAAAATAATTACAGTTAATGAAAATGTACTCTTAATCAAATTTTATTGGTCACATACACATATTTAGCGGATGTTATTGCGGGTGTAGCGAAATGCTTGTGTTCCTAGCGCCGACAGTGCAGTAGTATCTAACAATTCACAACAATACACACATCTAAAGTAAAATAATGGAATTAAGAAATAAATAAATATTAGGACGAGCAATGTCGGAGTGGCATTGACTAAAATACAGTAGAATAGAATACAGTATATACATATGAAATGAGTAAAGCAGTACAGTATGTAAACATGAGGACCAGTGATTCCATGTCTATGTATATAGGACAGCAGCCTGTAAGGTGCAGGGTTGAGTAACCGGGTGGTAGCTGGCTAGTGATGGGTATTTAAGTCTGATGGCCTTGAGATGGAAGCTGTCTTTTGGTCTCAGTTTTGATGCACCTGTACTGACCTCGCCTTCTGGATGGTAGAGGGGTGAACAGGCCGTGGCTCGGTGGTTGATGTCCTTGATTATCTTTTTGGCCTTCCTGTGACATCAGGTGCTGTAGGTGTTCTGGAGGGCAGGTAGTTTGCCCCCGGTAATGCGTTGGACAGACTGCACCACCCGCAAACGCAGGGCTCTCCAGAGGGTGGTGCAGTCTGCCCAACACATCACCGGGGGCAAACTACATGCCGTACCAGGCGGTGATACAGCCCGACAGGATGCTGTCAATTGTGCATCTGTAAAAGTTTGGTGCTGTTGCGCCTTTTTCACCACACTGTGTGTGGGTGGACCATTTCAGATTGTCAGTGATGTGTACGCCGAGGAACTTGAAGCTTTTCACCTTCTCCACTGCGGTCCCGTCGGTGTATAGGGGCGTGCTCTCTGCTGTTTCCTGATGTCCACGATCAGCTCCTTTGTTTTGTTGACGTTGAGGGAGAGGTTATTTTCCTGGCACCACTACGCCAGGGCCCTCACCACCTCCCTGTAGGCTGTCTCGTCATTGTTGGTAATCAGGCCTACTACTGTTGTCACCTGCAAACTTGATTGAGTTGGAGGCGTGTGTGGCCACGCAGTCATGGGTGAACAGGGAGTACAGGAGGGGGCTGAGCACACACCCTTGTGGGGCCCCTGTGTTGAGGGTCAGTGAAGTGGAGGTGTTGTTTCCTACCTTCACCACCTGGGGGTGGCCCATCACCACCTGGGGGTGGCCCATCAGGAAGTCCAGGACCCAGTTGCACAGAGAGGGGTTCAGACCCAGGACCCCAAGCTTAATGATGAGCTTGGAGGGTACTATGGTGTTGAATGCTGAGCTATAGTCGATGAACAGCATTCTTACGTAGGAATTCCTCTTGTCCATATGGGATAGGGCAGTGCGATGGCAATTGCATCGTCTGTGGATCTATTGGGGCGGTATGCAAATTGAAGTGGGTCTAGGGTGTCAGGTAAGGTAGAGTTGATATGATCCTTAACTAGCCTCTCAAAGCACTTCATGATGACAGAAGTGAGTGCTACGGGGTGATAGTCATTTATTTCAGTTACCTTTGCTTTCTTGGGTACAGGAACAATGGTGGACATCTTGAAGCAAGTGGGTACAGCAGACTTGGATAGGGAGAGATTGAATATGTCCGTAAAACACTCCAGACAGCTGGTCTGCGCGAGCTCTGAGGACGCGGCTAGGGATGCCGTCTTGGCCGGCAGCCTTGCGAGGGTTAACACGCTTAAATATCTTACTCACGTCGGCCATGGAGAACGAGAGTCCACAGTCCTTGGGAGCGGGCCGCGTCGGTGGCACTGTGTTATCCTGAAAGCGGGCGAAGAAGGGGTTTAGCTTGTCCGGAAGCGAGACGTCGGTGTCGGCAACGTGGCTGGTTTTCCCTTTGTAATCCGTGATTGTCTGTTGACCCTGCCACATACGTCTCGTGTCCGAGCCGTTGAATTGCGACTCCACTTAATCCAGTATAAACTAATGTATATAATTTATTATACAAGAGACTAAATTCACAAATTCTACAGCACAACGGCAGAGTCATGTCATAAGGGTAAAACTAACAATGACTCAATAATCCATGCCTTCTGGGAATGTTATCAAGTCCAAAATGTATGGGTGGAGTATTACAAAATAAATGTATGTTTAATCTGTCTGCATATTTCAAGAAATGGCATATGAGGGTGCAGTGCGATACCCGATGGGTTGGATGATACTTTTCTCCTCAATCATCTTGGAAAAAACGTATACTGGAAATCAACCAATCCTCCATCCTTAACACAATGGAAAGGTCAAATGCTTTATTATCTAAATGTTGAAAGTCTGTGGGCGACGGAGAGAAACAAAATGGTGCAGTTTGAGGCCATGTGGTGGAGAGTGATGCGGGTGCTGGAGATGGTGGTGTGAGCATGTGGGTCTGGGCAGGGGTTGATGCTTGTGTGATGTTGTCGTTTGTATTGTTTACAAAAATAAAATGCACAGAACAAAAATATAAATGCAACATGTAACAATTTCAAAGATTTTACTGAGTTACAGTTCATATAAGGAAATCAGTCAATTTTTAATAAATTCATTAGGCCCTAATCTATAGATTACACATGACTGGAAATACAGATATGCATCTGTTGGTCACAGATACCTTTAAAAAAGGGTGGATCAGACAACCTGTCAGTATCTGGGAGACCATAATGGAGACATCTGTTGCATTGTGTTGTGACAAAACTGCACATTTATAGTGGCCTGTTATTGTCCCCAGCACAAGGTGCACCTGGGTAATGATCATGCTGTTTAATCATCTTCTTGATATGCCGCACCTGTCAGCTGAATGGATTATCTTGGCAATGGAGAAATGCTCACTAACAGCAATGTC